GTTCAGCAACCTTCTGGACCGGGTTTTAGGGGAGAGAAGGCAACAGGAGGTTATTACTTTCATTAATTCAGCAGAGATGACACAAACGGCTGCCTGCAAAATTTCATTTCCTTTTTCTTCCCTTTGTGTTTTTTAAAATTTTCCAAGCAGAGGCAGGAGCCGCGAGGCTGGGACCTGTGCTTTGTACCGGAGCGGTTTGCAGCAGCAGCAGAGCTCAAGATTTCCCTGGACCACGCACAGGCCGAGACGATCTTTGCTTTGGTTCTGCCTGAAATTCCTGTTGGACTCCGTTTTGAGCCAACCCGGTTGACAACATCGCTTCTTCCTCCCATCGGAGCGGACAGCGCGCTCTGCATTGACGCAGTTGCGAAGCGCAGCCCACGTGCCCTTCCTCCCTGGTGCATCCTAAAGGATTTATTGATCCTACATAAATGTAATGCCGTCAGCTCTGCGATTAGGGGTAAATACACCAGATATTGGCTATTCCATGCTCTGGATGCCTCCGCAGCTGGAGATGCGGAGGAGAGCTGCACGGGATGCTCTGATCCGGAGCAGGCGACAAGAACCAAGGCCCAGAGGATGGTGTCACGAGCCCCGCTCCTCACGTGCCAAATCTTTGCAGATGTGCGAGTCACGAGAGAGGAGGGAGAGGGAGAGGATGGGCTGCGCTGCCTCTGCACCTAAGCGGGGCCCGGGGAAAGCCACGAGCCCCTGTTACCTGCAAATAATCCCCGCGGGCGCAAGCGGAGCCCCGGAGCTCCCGATGGGTCCGTCCCTGCCCGCACCCCTCCGCCCCGGCCCGGTTGCTCCGCAATGGTGCGATCCGTGCTGCGTCTGCTTGTTAAATTAACACTTCTCTTCGACACGGCCTCCAGATGTAATTCTGTAGTAAAGCCACGCATCTCATTGCAGAAGGGGTCAGGAATGCGTGGGGTAATCCAGGAGGCTTTAGCAGCTGGTTCAGGAGGGGGAAAAATTCAATTTAAATTCAATATCTCACTTTGTATACCAAATCCTCCTGCCGCAGGGCTACGGGTATTTGCTTGCTACGGAGCCAGGCACCAGCAACGCTTCGGCGTTAAATGGCACTGAAGGGCAGCGGCACGGCCAGCCCTTCCCCGAGCAATCATTTGGGATGCTCTGCACTTGCAGGAGTGCGGTCCTCACCCTGCTGTCCATCTGCGAGACTTTCCAAAGCACGCCGAAGCTCAAGCTTTTACACCCCACATAAGCTGAGATCACACAGCAAATTCAGAGGAGGTGGATGCCGCTGGGGCACATCGGCACAGCTAACATCCGTGGCACGGCGAAGCCCTCCAAAGCCAGCGCCGGAGGATTCTTCTTTGGCACCGTTTTGCCAATAACAGAGCTGGGGGCAGTGGTTTGAAGAGCGATTTGTCGAGTCTCTGTAGAGTTTAGGGCTGTAAAGGGATCATTAGATGATCTAATCCAACCTCCCATCTATCACAGGTTGTTAAATAGCACTTTGTTACTCCGGGGAATGGGAGCCAAAACGCCTCTTCCAGAAAGGGCCTCTGTCTTGATTTAAAGACGTGAAGAGATGGAGGACTTGCCACTTCCCTTGCTGGCTTGTTTCACAGGTTACTCACCCTCTCTCTTACAACACGCCTCCAACTTCTAAATTTAAAGCTCTTCTGGCTTGATCTTCCAGACATTACTACTTGTTATTTCTTCTTTGGGGCAGAACACACCCAGCGAGACCTGGTGCCCAGGAAAATACTCTGAAAGTCCAAACACCTCTTCATGTTGCAAGCGAGCGATATAGATTCAAGTTCAATCTGGGCAAAACATGCCCTTGAGCCTTCTGAACACCATTTGTCTTATTTTTTTTGCATCCCCACCCACTGGCATCCCAGTTAAAACGCGAACACTGGACGCAGATGCAATATCCCAGCAGAGACCTTGTTAACATCGAGCACCGAGATACAAATCGCCTGGTTGGGGATGACCCCTCGATCTGTTTCTGCCTTGTCTGCCAGGGTGGACAGATGCGCCGCACCTTCAAACACCCTTTTCTTGTGCATAATCGCAGGCAAAAGTGAAGATCTGATGCCCAGGCAGCTCAAATCACCCCGGGGTAAGCCTGGGTTTGGGCTCACCTGCAAGTTTTATGAGGTTTTGCTTCCTACAGAGCTGAAAATAGGTGGAAATGATCAAATATTTCAAAGGTGACACTGCAATCTTGCCTCCCTGGTCTACAAAAGCAGGACAAAACGTTTTCCACACCCTCTGGATAGAAACCGTGGTGGGACTGGCTGCTGCGAGCCAGCCAGAGGCAGCCTCCGGGGTGGGAGAAGAGACCAGGCGCCTGTCTGACGGGGACAGAGGGAGAGGATGCGACGGATGTAGGGCTAGCAGGGAGCTGGGGCTATGTGAAAAGCCAGAGGGGAGGGAAAAGGGATGGAAAAGCTCTTCTGCAACTCGGCAGGAGAGCTCTGGGCGCACAGGATTTCGGTGGCTGCCGCGGGCGGAGCGATGCCCTCTGCTCCTGGCTGCAGGGAGAGGCGCAGCCGGCCCTGCATCCCGGGTATCAGCGCAACCTGCCCCCATCGCCGCCTCGATTCCCAGGCACCGTGTTTTTCCCCACCTGCCTCTCACTTTCCCTCCGGCAGGAAGAGCTTCTCCTCTCAATTAGTGGCCCAACTGTCTCCCCAATGGCCCATAAAATAATTAAAACAAGCCCCAAACTGCAACAACCTTTAACCCTGCCGTCCTGCTCCTCATCGTTCAGGTTAACAAATCAACTCTGCATCATTAATCTCTAAACTGCGCTGTTGAATGAGCAATTTGTGTACAATAACGAACGGAGCAGGTATTAAACATTTCTTAAGCACACAGAACACAAGTTACTCATTAAAGAGGAAAACGTGTTGAAACATTAAGCAGAAAGCAGGAACTATAAAACATCCCTTCCCAGTCTTTTTGAGAAGCCAGCCATGTTTTCATGCCTGTTTGAGCATACACATGAATATATCTCCTGTTTTTAAAGCGCATAACGTAACTGCCCTGCGGGGCTGGTAGCTCCCAGATGCGCTGGGCGGACGGGGTTCGGTACTCGCCGCGTTTGCGTGGCTCTGTCAGGGATGAACGTTGGGCCGAGCACGACGATGGGGGAAAGTTAAACCTCTTTCATGGCTCACATCAGTTTGGGAAGACGCAGCGACGCCATCCTTGTTTTGGGATGGAGGGATGGGTGTTGGGCTCGCTCTGAAGCCGGGCAGCTGTTGAAAGCAGCCGGAGAAAATTCCCTTACCTGATCAAGTAGCAACAGAAGAGCAAACTGAGGATGAAGACGAAGATGGCCGTGCCGAAAACCACAATGTATATGTTGAGAGGCAGGTTCTGGAACCCGATGTTCGGCATCCTGAAACTGTAATGCTGGAAGTCCGAGCTCATGGGTAGGCTGCGGAGACAGGGAGAAAACACAGGGACGTGAGGCTTTTTGGGCAGCATGGGATGCCCTTCGGAGGAGACCAGCGGCCCCTCCGAAGGCAGGTGGGAGGGGAGGAGAGGGCAGCCAGCAGCGCTTCCCGACTGGCTTCTCCTCGCCCCCCGGGGCGAAGGTGTATCCTTGCCCGAAACCGAGCCCCCAGCTCGGCAACGCTGAAAACAAAGCAGGGCTGGATCAGCCGGGGCTGGGATTTTTCTTCTCCCGCTGTGAGCTTCTCCTCCAGCTATTTCCCCTCTTCCTTACGCACATCGTCCTTCAAGTTAAACGCCGCATCATATGGACGCCAGGGATTTGCATCCGAGCAGCCCTGGCCGCAGCCAATGCCCCCAAACTCTCATAAACTAGGCCAAAATATTGAAAGCAGCCAGAAAGCCTTGTAGCAAGGAAGGTTTCTCTTCCCTTCCCCTCCTGTGTTTTCCAAGCTCTATTCCTCAGTCTGTAGAAATCTCCCCTTCCAAAACGGTCGAGCGTGCACCCGAGCCGGCACGGGTTCAACACGCTCCCGGCGCATCCCAGGCAGGACGGAAAGGACACGGACAATCCCACGCCACACGGCAGGGCCGCTGCAAATTACAGGGGCCCTAAAAGAGATTTGCTTTGGTTTTGCCTCGTGAGATCCAGGCCGGGCGGTTTAAGGGGATTTTTGCAGATTTCAGCTTTATTCCTCGGTATAAGCCCGCGCTGCTTCCCCCCAGCAAAACCCCGAAGCACCCGCGAGGGCGGCGAAGAGGAAGGTGCAATGATTTTGGCTGTCAACATCCCACATCTCGGACGCGTGACCAAAACCTCCCTCCCCTCGGAAAGGCCCAATTAAACCACGAGCAACCGCCTGGGATAACGACTTCGGCGTATGATCTCTCCCGTGATTTTACTTTTGTCACGCAGGACAGTAATATTTTACAATAACACTCACGGAGCGTTTTTCGGGAGTCAGGTGGAAAACCAGGCTGATGTCTCTGCATCCCCGTAAAAACACTGCTGTAACGCCACGTTAATACTCGAAACCCTTAACCGGAAAGCACGTACTTATCATTGCTTCTTATTCTTCCTTTCCATCGCAATCATTCTCCGAGCCATTCACCCTTGAACGATCACAACGTCTCTGGCCAGGCATAAAGTTCACCCACCCCCAGCTTAGAAAAGCAAGTTAAAAAATATGCCTTGTTTTCCTTTCTGCCCACGGGAGAGGGCTGGACGTGCAATTAAATTTCACAAGAAGCAGGGAAAGTACCTGAAGTCTGAAGCCTGTTTCTCAAAATTACCAAGGGATAACAAAACCTTCCCCCGGAGCAGGGAGTTTTCAACGGCACGTTAATTGCACGGCTCCCAATTTTTGCACGGGGTGAGAAGACAGCGGGGAAACCGCAGGATCTGAACGCAAACGCGATGGGGAGCGATGCTCCAGAAACCAAAGCATCCTCTGACCGTCCTGCTCCTTCTCCAAGCACCATCCTCGCTCCTGCGTCTCCCTTTCCCCTTCACAGCCCTTTTCTGCCGAACCCACGGGGTTTTCCTCCGTCCTCCCATCTTACACGCATTGCTCGTATCTACGCCGCGCGTTCC